CAACCTTTTCTCATACATCCTTTTTGATGTCCTCATTTCCTGTTTCACCAACTTTTTTGATCTTCTATAATCTTTTAAATCTCCTGTATCAGTTAATTTAAATTTCTTAAATTTATGATGCTTTTCTTTAATTTTTATCTCTTATACTCTTTGTGAGCCAACCTAGTTTTTTACTTGCAGCTATCATTTTCTTTCTATAAGGAATTTGTTTACCTTGAATATTTAAAAATTTTCAAATCTGTTCAGTGTCTCCAAATAATTCAGCTTCCCAATTCACAACAGATAATTTTTGTCGCATTCCTTCAAAATTTGTTTTTTGAAATTTGTAACCAAAAGATCATTATTCCTTATCTCCATATGCAGCAGAACATTGAACCTAATAGAGCCATGATCACTTGTACATAAATGTTCCCCAATACACCCTTACAATCATTTCTATATTGAAGTTAACAATAAATCTAAAATTTCTTGCTAGAGTTAAGATTCATGATCATTTAATTCATTATAGTTTCTATAGGTTAATTAATTAGAAATGTATACACAAAAGTTCTACATATAACTTTATCAGTACAAAGATGATTTTTTATATTATATTGCATACTGTACTGGTAAATAAAAAAAGGGAATTTTCTTTCCATTTGTGAGAGTAATATGTTTGGCTATAAATTGTTAACTCTTAAAAATATTCAGTAACCTTAGTCCTTTTATAATGAATATGCCTTATCCTAGGCTGTCAGTATAGATGCTACAGATGTCACATTGTGGTACCGAATTGGGCATGGAGCATTAAAACTACATAAGTATGCTCTGGCAAGACTTGCTTTTGAAGAGGTACTGTTATTGTATTTTATTAAGAGTTCTATAAAACTATAATATTAGAAAATAAAAAGTTAACTGATTAAAAATATGCCTAACTCAGTAATGAAGACTACATGTCTTATAAAAGTGAATTTTTATGTCTTTGGTGTGTTGTTGATTTGTAAAAACCATTTCTGTTTTTTTTCATGTATTATCTTCTATGTGTTGTAAAATTATATTTATATAAATAGATACATGGTCTTTTACGACTTTATATTATTAGACTAGTGTATTGTTTTTATAACAGTCTGCATTGTAATTTAATATTTAACATTTATGATCAAATTATTGTTGTATTAAATCAGAAGGCTAACTTCAATATAAACCTGTATTAGAAGTAGAAGTAGACTTTTTTTAATATTAACTGTCCATTCTATGTGATGGAAATCATTAAAAATTTACTCAGACATTTGAATTTTAGAAATTCACATGTAACTTAACATTTTTAGGGTTTAAAGTGTAGCTCCGGTCACTGGCCTTGTCTGGACAATCTTATTACTGTTTTGTATGCTCTAAATGAATATGCAAGTAAGTGATGCAACATTCATTAAAGTCTGTTATTAGTATGGTTGCTTTAGCATTCTGAGCCTAAATGTTAAGACTTCCTTAAGCTGTTGATTTAAAATTTCCTTCAGTGCTTTTGTTTTGTAAGCATTAAAACTATAGGGAGATGAAATCTTATAAAATAAGCCATGAATTAAATAAACAAGTGATTGAATGTAGAAATTTGTTTGTACAAATATCAACATAACTTTGAGATGCTGTATGTAGAAGTTCTGATATATGAGGTTGTGGATCGTTTAACCACTATCCCCAGTATATTTGTTGCTTACCTTTAGCTTTTGTCTTAATGAATTATATCAGCCCCTGAAGAAGAAAGGTCCACCTTTGGAAAGTGCTCAGGTTATTGGGTTTTTATCATTTTCTATTATCAGCCTAGATATTAAATGTATAATACAAGTAATCTCTTCAATAGTTTATCAGTGTTCATTTCCCCTCTTAATGCTATATTTCTTTTATTCATTAGTTCTTAGTTGAATTTTATAAGAGTGACTTACATGTGATAGTGTTAACACAAATGTGAACTTGAGACTGGAGAATATGTCACAGCTCTTTTCAAGGAAGGATGTTTGTATGATGAAGTTATTAAACAACTTAGAGCCAGAGTATGCAATATTTGAATGGATTTTTTTTTATTTTCTCAATGGAAGCAGAAAAACTTGACAGCAGAGTGTTTAGGACAGCAGTAGGCTCCAAACCACACCCTAAACCAATCTGGAGCATTGCTTTCATCCAAAAAGTAAAGGTTATGATGAACATAGAGAATCTTACAATCCAGAAAGTCATTTTAATAAAGTCACACCTTGAGATCAATGGCTGTTCTCGTAAGAAAGATAGCCAGAGAAACTGGAATCACAGCAATCCCATTCATAACATTACATTTAATGGACAACAAAAGGCCTGTTTATCCATTGATGTTGTCCCATTCACTTAAAAACAACTACTCAAATCCAGCACTGATCATTTAAATATTTATCAAGCATTCCCTTTAAATTCTTAAATTTATTGCATTAACCACACCTGAAGGCATTCCATGGAAATACCAACTACTAAGGTGAAGATAACTTCTACCCTGCTAAAATTTATATTTATGTCCCCTTGTCCTACCATTAACTATGAAAAATATGATGTATCAATATTATCAATTCTCTTAATAATCTTGAACACCTTTAACTTGTTTTCTTTTGACAAAAAAATTTTGGAGATATTCTTGTATGACAACCTCCTCACAGGTATCATCCTAGTTTCCGTAATTTGAACCCTTTCCAACAATTCAATATTCCTCTTAAAGTAAGGAACCCAAGACTAAACTTAATAATCCAAATTAAGTCTAACCAGTAACCTATATGAGAAATGATAACCTCTTTTGGCTTGTATTCAATATTTCTGTAAGTACAATCCAAGAATACTCTTTGCCCTAAAATACCAACAGCACACTGCTTGAATGGCTTGAGAGACTTATCAACCAAAACATCAAAATTCATTTCTTCCATAACACTGTTAACATTATTTCCATCAAATTTATACTTACAATCAGTAGGTATAATACTGCTTAAATTTCCATTTATAGAAACTGAAGTAAATGTATAATTTAGTAACCAAGCCATCTCATGCTCATCACAAATAAACCTTCTGTTATCAAATCTCAACGGCCCTACTCTCATCTTAACATTTTGTTTACCCATAATGTATTTAAAGAAATCGTCACTGTTAATTTTTACATTTTCAGCCAACCTATTTTAATATTCCCTTTTTGATCAAGTCCCATAATGCAGCTTCAGTAGACTTTGTCTTTAGTCTCCTTTAATATCATCTTAAAAGCTGACATTCATGCACAGTCAAAGGCCTGTAGAAAGTTTGTCGATGTGTGTGTGTGATCTAAGCTTGATCTCATTGATTTGGTTACAATGGGAGTTGCAGTATCAAGCAATGGTACACAATCATGGCCATCAGATTGATCACAGTTGATGATAGAAGCATGGCCGTAGCTAACTAGGAAGTTACAGAGGTCCAGACCTTGACTAACCCTTTCACATTGGTTAAGTAAAAGTGCACATGTCACAACCTTTTATAGAATTGTATTCAAAATTTGATTACACTATTTTATTGGCAAAGTATGCAAACAAACTTGGCATCCAAATATAGTTAATATATCAAATTTTAAGATTATTTAAGTGTTAAAATATAGATAAATAATAATAATAACAAACATTTTTCAAGAGATATGCTCACGAATAGCTGTGCCTTACGTAAATTTGATAGGGTAACCAAAGTTACACATTTGCGAGGGATTTGCAACTTGTGTGGCAGGATTATTAATTATACAAGGTTCAGAAGGCAATAAAACAATAAAATTAAGTATAAATAGATGAATACAGTTACAAACTTTAAGCTATCTAGGATAAACAATTTCGGTTTCCTGTTACAATTTGCAGTCATTCAAGAAAGAAAAAAGGTAATTAAAAATTATTTCTTTATCTTTTTTAAGGTGGTTACGAGGACAGTCAGATTGACCAATCCTGTATAGAGTTATAGTACAGAAAATAACAGATATAAAGTATTTCTGAAAAAAACATTTGATATTTACTTAGGAGGTTTTAGGAATTACGCAAATTAAAGTTGACAAATTTCAGATGAAGAAAAGTATTTTTAATCTTAACATCAAAATTATATGCACTTGGAATAATCATCATTCTGGCACCATATAATTATAGAAAAAATTTTTAGTACAAATACTTACATGAAAATTCTAATTTTTTTTATCTGCAAAAGACTTTTAAAGTTTACTGAAAGCTTGCCAAATTTCTTGAAGATACATTAAGTACTTTCAGAGGCATAGTGAGTATACCACCATGGTTACAAGGTTGTGTAAATTATACAAGCCCATTGTGATAGAGATAAAATTTGAAATTAAATGGAATTTGCTATTTAATTTTACACCCATATGGAAAAGGTATACAATATGTAAGGCTGATCCTATGTACTTTTGGTGTTTGGACCTTGGGTAACTGTTCATTTTAGCTACGACCATGGAGAAAATTAGTAGTACAAATGACAGCACAGGATCTGGATCATCATTATTATTACATATATTTTTAACTTTCAGTATTTATGTGAAACTGGTCCATTTCTTCTACCATATTTAGTCTATTTTATTATTCTAAGGACCTTTTCTTGCTACTCTCCAATTCTTGTCAGACTTTTTCAAGATTATACCATAAATAAGCTTGTGTTACATTTATCAGTATGGCCAACTGGAAATTTAGTTTTGTGCTGAACATTTTAAGTTTTAATTATAACCATTGTAAAGATTATATTAAATACTGTGAGTAAATCAGAATATAAATGAAGCCTAAAAACTGAATGAAGCTGTGTAGTGGTGAATGTCTTTTGTTTACAAGAATGTGAACACCATTTTATATTTGTCTATGTTCAGAAATACAGTGATTTAGTTATCTGTGTTTGTAGTAATCTAAGATTCTCTTTTGTCTGTCTTTACTAATTTCTTTTCTTAGGTTGTCTGTATTACATTTCCGTATCTCTGGAAAAGGAATGTTACTACTTAAAGGGTTTGGTATTCCGAAAAGAGATACTACAAGAAGATCCAAGCTTAAATGAATACTGTGGAAGCTTCTTCAAAAACTGGTGAATAAAGAAATTTTTTCTTTTATATGGAACTACTAAAGAATTACAAACCATTCATCTTAGGTAAAATATTTCAGGAACTGAAGTACTGAAAAAATGCATTACAAACAAAAACATTAGGCCAAATAACAGACTGTAGGGATTTTATTTCACATTTCTCTGTTCATCTTTTTTTTTTTTGACTTGAAAAACAGTTTTTAATTTTAATGTCCAAGTTGAGTATTATGTAAGTTTACTAATATTTGTTGTTTGGAGCTGATGAAAATTTTTTATCAATTTCAAGGGAAGCAATATATATTTTTAAAAAATCAGGATTTTTAGTTGCAGTTTGTGCACATGCAATTGAAATTGTACTAAAACTAATACATAATTGTAAATTATAATTTATTGTTTTAATCAGTTGGTTTTTTCTTACTCTTTGAATAAAACCTAATTTGTTAGTGTCATTTGTAAACAACTGATATGAAAGTATAGTTCACATTCTTAAAAACAAATTCACAATAAAAGAAATGGTAACAATTATTATTATATTGAATTAAACTTCAAATGTTAAATTTTACACTGAATACCATTAAGAAAAAGCATGTGTGTTTTGACACTTTATTATTTAATGTCATTTTTGACAAGCTAGTACTATTACTGTTGTAATTGCTTTTAATTTTATTCTCAAAATTCTTATTGTGCTGGTCGGAAGTGACTTAAAACACCATCAATTTGTAATTTTCTAATTTGTTATTTTTTAATGTAATCTAGAAATAAGGGCAGAAGACTTCATAATATATTAATTTTGTTTATGCTGTTACTTATCTTGTACAGTTCTGGTGCTATAAAGATGTCAAACTCACTCTTTATGAATCGAGAGAGACATTTGTCAATTACAAAAGTATTAATATTATATTAAAATATTCTTAATCTTCAGTATATGATGAAGTCATATGTTCAGGACACTGATTTAGGTAAAACTGGAGCCCCATATATATTTCATTAAGTGAGGTCTCTTACTTTAGTAAAAACAAAAGTTGCCAACTAATTATGTTTATTTGTAGGCCACTGGAAATGCATTACTACTAATTTTTAACCAAATGTTCAAGTAATTATTGCTGGTGTTCAGAAAGTGGGTGTTTAATACTTGAAAATGTATTACATTAATAATTAAGTTAAGTAAAAGATAAGTATGCTGAATTTCAATCCTGAGATTGCAAGCTATGAAGTTACAGTAGTATAAACTTGTGTGGCTATTTTTAGTTGGGAATGTTTAAACATTTTATATATTTCAGACAAGTACCATATTTATATTCCTAAGTAACAAAAATTGTAACACAAGTTTAAGATTTCAAAACTTTGAATGAAACTTTGAGCAATAAATAAATGAAAGTATATGCTTTTGTTACCTTCGTAATACTGTTTTGTTGTCATAAATACCTTTATGTAATCTAGAAGTAACATACTCTTGAAAGGTTTCATCAAAATTATACATTATTTTCTTACTTTTCAGTAATATTCACACATATCCGCTACCTCACAAATCCTTTTTTTAAAAACTTATTTGAACTGAAATTTATTTTACAGAAAAAATAATAACTCTCAAGCTTTTTTTTTTTCCATGATTTTTCTGTTATTTTGAACAAATTTCAAAGTTAATTACAATTTTTTCTTTTATTTTTAGGTTTGAAAGTGACTCCATATACATACTATTATTTCTCTGACAGGTCTTAACTTGTTCAGTTTAGCAACCTATAATTTTTGGTTTACAAATAATAACTAAAGGGTGATAATCTATATGTTTAATTTTTACATGTTAATTCTTACAGCAACCCATCAATTTACACAGCATCGTATGATAAAGAAGAAGGGAAAAAAGTAAGTAATGAAATCTGAATTTTTAGTTTATTTGATCTATTCTTTATTTTAAACACTTACATCATTCCAACAACATACACTTTCAGATTACGCTTTAAAAAATAATGAAAGGAAGAGTTAAACTACCTTGTTTGTGTATATGTTATAATGTATGAGTAATTTTAGATAATAATACATATAATCATGTAAATACTATTGTACTTACAATTTTAAGAAATTTACCATACGTCTTACCTTCTATTTCAAGTAATTTATAGTGTTTTTCTAAAGTGTAATACACATCTTCATTGATTTTTGGGTTAAAGGTATTGAAAAAAATCTATGTATTGTGATACCTTTTACATAAATCAAAAGACAAAAGAGAATATATTGTTTTACTCCAGTAAAAGATATAATAAATGTGTACATAATATCATTTTGATGGTAACTTACTCATGATATGATACAGAATTTTTAAACTTATATTATTGTATATATCAAACCTGTTTTTGAGAAACTCAAAGCTATTAGATAAGAACTTGATTAGATTTGGAGATTCAGTGGATGACTGTTCCATAGAAAATCTAACTTGATTTTGTGTACACTGCCTCAAATTTCACACAAATGAAACATGATTATTTTCTCTAGAAAAATACCTTTAAGATATTTCACACTTCATATTTTTTGTAACTTCTGTAATTTTTGAATCACACTCATTATGTTCTTTCATTTCATTCCTGTTCAGTTGATTGAAGAAGCTCTTGCATTAAGAGCTAAGAAACAGGAGATATCCAGACCTCCTCCTTTGCCTCTTGTAAATTTTCTCCAACCACTCACAGATTTCAGGTAAGTTTGGTAACTTCTTTGTTTTTATCTTCCAGTATTTAGTTTTCAAGAAAACATTCTGTTCTGTTTGTCACCTCATTAAGAATGAAAGTGTACGTGTTACTATTAATTTAGATTTATTTTGTTACTATGTGCTATTTTATTACAATAAACCTGTTTTTTTTGTGTGTGTGCATGTATTTGACAGCTGGAAGTCATTAGGAGAGAGCTTACTTGCAATGTATGATCATATAGCCAGCAGTGATCCTCCAATTGTAAGTTAGTGTGTTCTTTATAATTAGTAAAAAACAAACAAATTATATGGTGTTTGTGAGGATTGTTCCTTTTAATATACTTTTCAACCTTATAACTTTAACTAATGATGTAGCTGTGATTGATATAAATAAATCATGAATGAAATACTGCATAATTAATTATAAGTCTGTAATTTATTTTTACATAAGTTTTAAAAAATACATACATGTATTTTATAATTTTAAAATGTTAGTAATACTTCACACATATTTTAGGACATAAATTTGTGATATGCTCTTTTGTCATTTATAATTGACCTGAGCATACTTATTTGGAGACTAACTACTTTCAGTCTTAGTGCAAAAAATGCAGTATTTCATCCTGTTATTGGGTTTATTTTTACCAAGTTTGTTACATAACTAATAATTCTGCTATCTTAAATTTAAAAAAAAATGATCATAGTTGTTCCAAATTTTGAATATGGATTTGCTTCTGTAATAAAAAATATTTCTTAAAGCGTGACTGTTGATGGTATAGACAGTTAATAAAATATAAAAAATGCTTATGTAATACTTTTAATTTTGTTTCCAATTGCATTTTTTGTATTGTACTATGACTCATGAGATGCTTTACATTGTTTTGAAATATATATTGTCCTTAGGATATGAGCATAACATGTAGAAAATGAGTGTGAACCACTGCTTAGCCTTTCTGAAATAGTGCTTATTATACAAGTTACATGTATGAAAAACTTTCACAGCAAATGATGTGGAAATAATTCTTTAACAAACAGAATCTAAATCAATCATGTAATATCACATATTCTAGATTTTATATAGTAAAATCATTACAACATTTTTTTTTTTTTTTTTTTTTTTTTAGAGAGAGTATTAATTGCTATGAAACTTGTGTATGTGAAAGTTGTAGAAAGAATAAATAGAACATGTAAACACAAAAAGATAGTATATTTAAAATAGTAATTTCCTTTCAGAAATTATTTTTCAATTAGATAACTATTAAGTAGTATATTAAGATGAATTTGTCCCTAAGTAGAACATAGTGATGAATAATTTCACTCATGGTTTAACGAATTTAATGAAAAATATATGATCTTCAACATTTAACTACCTGGCTAATATATTTTGATATAGTAAGTAACAAATTATTCAATTTAATGGTGTTTCAAAATGGAGGTATAAACCAGAAAACAGGGATAAAGTTATCATCTTAGTTATTCCTTATATTCATATATTTATTTAGTTTTCAGTGTCATGTCATGATATCAACATGTTCTCAACTTCACATTGTTTACAATTTTTACCCTTAATCAGAACTATACATTTGAAAATTAAAACAAGTAAGCTATTAAAACAGTGTAATTGGGGTAATTATATAATAAAGACTCAAGATGCTAGTGGAGATTAGCTAAACATCTGTATGCTACCTGACGAAGTTGATAGCTGCTATTGGTTAATTATTCAGCAAATGTTTGGTTTAGGTCTTTTCACCATGTAATCTAGTCAATGTAGACTGAACGCAGTAAAAAATTAAAATGGGTTAAAATTACAATAATAATTTCAGCATATTTTTAAAACTGATGCAACAGAAAGAATACAAATATTTTTTAACTGTGAATATGTGAAATATAGAATAGGAAACTTTCCAACTGGTTTACCTTCCATGCAACATGACTTATGATTGGCAGGCTTTAAAAATTATATCCTGAAATGCCAGAGCAAATGGTTACAATTTTGTTCAGTTTTTGCAATCATCAAATGTTTTCACTATAAAAGACAGTTTTGGAAAAATGAGTAATCAAATAATTTTTTATCTCAAGCAAATAAGCATTTTTTTTTAAAGTGTAAGACTAATTGACTCAAGGCTGGAATCAAATCTTTTACATAATAGTTTATAAACATCGTAGTAATGATTGATACATCACACAGATTATTAAAAGTATTGTGTTCATAATTAATTTTACCAGTTTTAAACTAGAAATGAATAAAAACCCTATACAGGGTTATAGGGTTTTTATTCATTTCTATCAAGACTTCTTGAACCTATCTGTTTTTCTAACATCATGAATGTACCAGTTTTAAACTGTTATTTAACAACTGGTCTTTCCTTGTGTTTATTTTTAGTCATATGGATGTAGAGTAGATCTTACAAAATACACACAGATACCACAGACAAGTCCATCTGTTCTTGAGGTTTCAGAAACTCTGGTTACTAGTTCAGTAATTCCTTCACCTGTAACCACAGTAACATTACCCCAACAAAGTCAACAGCATTTGGTTCTGACTCCCATATCTAAGGAAAATCTTTTGTATTCCACTCCTTTAGATACCAAGCTTGTCATTGTTGGTAAGTTGTCTTACATGAATAATTATTATTTGCTAAAGTTTATTTAAAAGCTTTATTTTTAATTTCTTCTAATAAGACTGTAGGGATTGAAGAAATTTTAGCTGGTTGATGTAATAAAACTAAATTGTATTTTTTTACACTATTGTTTCTTAAAAACTTAATCATTTCTATTAATTTTAGCTAGAAGGAAAAAGTATGAAAAGCATGCAGCTCAACATCTAGAATTTTTGTGAAAGTTTAGAAAACAATTTGGACAATATGAAAGCCAGTTAGACTAGAGTAGAATTGATTGATTTGCATCATAATAGAGGTCGTTAGCCATGGTTATCCTTTACTGTGCATGACACAAGGTTTTTGTGTCTTACATTCAAAATTTTGTTAAACTATTTTTTGTTTATGTTAGACCAATTAGTAAAGCATAAAATCATAGCTAATAATACATATGTTAATAGTAAATAAGCTTTAAATTCTTAATTCTATAAGGCAATATTTTTAAAAATCCTGAATTTCTTCTAATGCAACATATGTGACACATTTTCTCTAGGTATCTTCTCTAATTTATCCACCACCCCTCCAGTAACTATGAAATTAAATGTAAATTACTCACTATAAAATCGTCATTGCTCAGGAAAACCATAATTTTTATACCTTCAATTTTCTTTGAGACCCTCCTGCCACACCCACCTGTCACATCCTCTCTTTCAAGATTTGTTAATAGTTCTCTCTTACATTTAGTTATATATTATCTATGATTAATAGAAAGCAAAGGTTTTCATCTGTCAAATGACATATTATATTACCTTGTGTTCTGAACAGATAAGCATCAGTTCCACTTAGAGTACAAGCTTCATTCCCATGTGAAAGTTAACGACTAGCATATTTCACTATCTTGGATGAATTTGTAATGGCTCTTGTCACATAGGTAGAAAACTGGAAAAATTTTGAGAATTAGGGGAAATTTTCTACTTTTGCATGTTATTAGTCTAT